AGCAGGCCCACATATTGACTGAGTCACAAAAGCTGCTCTAACAGCCTCGAAAGTAAACCTGTGCCCTTTTTATTCCTGTTTTTCATGAAGGAAGTGTTATTTGACCGGTCTGGTTCCTATTTTGGTTTAGCTCTCGCGAAGCAGTCCAATGGCTGTGCTTTACTTGTTGTTTGGGCTTAGCTGAGTGGAGGTGATTAAATATTTTGTTAACAAAGGTTAATTTCTTGACTTTCTCCAGAGGACTGAATACTTCTTTCCTGGGCTTTTAAAGGATAAAGTGTGCCCTCTACTGAGTGAAAATATACAGCAGCCTTTTAATATTGTCTTCAGATAGATACCATAATTGCCCTCCTCGATTTTACCTCAACAGCTAAAAGTGAATTATAAATAGGAAAGTCTAGGGCTGCCAAGTCCCCCCGGGGGGCGGGGAAACCCCCGCCCCAGAGGCCCGTTCCCCACCGGCGGTGGATCGGGCCCCGGGGGGAACCCCGCCCCGACATATTCGTCACCAGGAAGTGACGTTAGGATGCCGAACACGCTGGAGGCGGGGCCATGGCCATTGGAGGGAAAACTCTAAGGAACTACAGAGAAGCCATAGGAATCATGAACCGATAGCAGCACTGTTTTCCAGTTTGGTTCCAACATCTAACCAGATTCAACGCTACGCAATCTGTGATTTTACATGGCAGATATAACCAGACTGCATGTTTGGCTAGATATTGTTGCTGTAACTTTGGATGTATTGAGACAATTTCACACGTGTTTTTTTACTGTTACTTTTCTGTAGATGTACATCTCAAATATCTAAATTCTATCTTCACTAATATGATGGGCCCTCCAAGTGCTCTAAAGGTGCATCGCTTTTTGAATGACTCCTCCCCTTAAACAACAGTGAAGGTAGCTGTTTTTACAGTCAGCTATAAAGCTGTGCCAGGATTAATTACAGAAGTAAACAATGATATTTTGTAACATGATGTATTTTATAAAATGACGTATTTTGTAATATGGTTCCCCCTTTTTACTCTTCTCTAATTATATCATTTACGGCAGTGTTATATCTCCCTTATATATAAAGCCATAGTGGGCTCCAACGTTCCAAATGCGCACCATTAGTGTTTGGACGGTGGAACTGCTACTTACCGTATGTCCACCAATAAGGAGAAGAAGCTCGGTCCCGCCCACACCACCACTGCCGCGAAAATTCGCCTGACAAGTCACCCGATGCCATTTTCATTGCAGGACAACGACGACTAGGACGGCGAGGGCCCTGCAAGCTGCCACTTTCTGGATCAGTGAGTTACACCTGCCTTCCCCCCGCCGAAGCCTGGCGACAGGGATGTAGCCTCCGGTCGCCCTGCTAGCCCCCCCCCTGCACCGAGTTGAAGCCTGCTGACGGAGGCTGTAGCCTCCAGTCGCCCTGCTACGCGCCCCCCCATGCGCCCAGTTGAGGCCCGCTGACGTAGGCTGTAGCCTCCGGTCGCCCTGCTAGCCCCCTCCCGCGCACCCAGTCAAAGCCCGGTGACGGAGGCTGTAGCCTCTGCTCACCCTGCTAGCGCCCCCCCCGCGCCCAGTCGACGCCAGGCGATGGAGCCTGCAGCCTCCGGTTGCCCAGCTAGCCCCCCCCCCCGCGCACCCAGGCAAAGTCTGGCAATGGAGGCTGTAGCCTCCGCTCACCGTGCTACCGCCCCCCCACATGCCCAGTCGAAGCCCCGTGACAGAGGCTGTAGCCTCTGGTCACCTGGCTAGCCCCCCCCTGCGTGCCCAGTTGAAACCTGGCGGCAGAGGCTGTACCCTCCACTCGCCCTGCTAGGGTCCCCCCACACCCATTCGACGCCCGGCGACAGAGGCTGTGGCCTCCAGTCACCCTTCTAGGCCCCCCCCCGCGTGCCAAGTCAAAGCCCCCTCTGCATGCCCAGTCGAAGTCCGGCGATGGAGGCTGTAGCCTCCGCTCGCCCTGCTAGCATCCCCGTGCCCAATCGAAGCCCAGTGACGGAGGCTGTACCCTCCACTCACCCTTCTAGGGCCCCCCACCCCCAGTCGATGCCCGGCGACAGAGAATGTAGCCTCCGCTTGCCCTGCTAGCATCCCCCGTGCCCAATCGAAGCCCGGCGACGGAGGCTGTAGCCTCTGCTCGCCCTGCTGCCCCCCTACACCCAGTCATCTAGCCTGGCAGGGAGAAGCTGTCCCAGGCTCCCACACCACATCTCCCGACCACCAGCAAAGACGGATGGCCAGGAGAAGCTCTCAAAGGCCCCCACCCCTGCGCCGCTTTTCCCGGCCGCCAGGAGAAGCACCTCCAGCCACCCCGTCCTCAACGGGCTTTGCTCCCTAGTATGCCAATAAAGGCTAACTGAACTGAACTGAACTGAACAGTTTGGTTCTATCGCAACTGAAGCCGGTACTGACTTATGGCGACCCCAGAAAATGGCTTTCAAGGCAAGTGAGAAGCAGAGGTGGTCTGCTGTTGCCTTCCTCTGCAGACTCTTCCTTGGAGGTCTCCTTTCCAAGTACCAACCCTGCTTAGCTATACCATGCTGCCTTCTCTCCCAGCTTGCACTTTAGCATAAGGAAAAATAATAATCATGTTTTTTGGCCACTGCTGTTAATAATACTATGCAGAATAGTGATCAGAGCAACCTTCTGTAGCATGCATTGGTATAAACATCTAATATCAGGGGAGGGGTTCGTGGTCATGAATTATTCATATCGCTTTGCCTTTTGTGGCTTTTTATAAGTCTGCGGAATAATGACTTACAGCAAGGCATTTGGGTATCCCTTCCGTTCGCTCAATTATATTAAGAGCTCGAGGCAAGCTATTAAAATTCACTAATCACTGTCTTAATGCTTCCATGCTAGGCCACTAGGAAATGTAATAACACGCAGATTACAAATACTCAGCCCTGAAGGCTGTTCATGGGTGAATGATGATTGTACAAAGCTTTATATTAGCGTTACCACCACCAGGTTGGGAAATACCTGGAGATTTGGGGAGTAGAGACTGCGGAGGGCAGGGTCTGGGGAGGGGAGAGACCTCAGCAGGGTCTAATGCCAGAGTCCAGCTGCCAAAGCGGCCATTTTCTCTGGGGGGGAACTGATTTCCGTGGCTTGCAGATCAGTTCTAATTCCCAGAGATCTCCAGGCCCCACCTGGAGACTGACAATCCTAACTTTTATGGACTTAGGAAAAAGGTAAAGGTTCCCTTGCTCGAAAGCCAGTCGCATCCGACTCTAGGGTTGCGGTGCTCATCTCCGTTTCAAAGCCGAAGAGCCAGCGCTGTCCGAAGACGTTTCTTGGTCATGTGGCCGGCATGACTAAACACCAAGGCGCACGGAACGCTGTTACCTTCCCACCGAAGTGGTACCTATTTATCTACTTGCAATTTCTTGCTTTCGAACTCCTAGGTTGGCAGGAGCTGGAACTAGAGACGGGAGCTCACTCCGTCATGCGGCACACCCAGGTCTCGAACTGCTGAACTACCGACCTTCCACAGCCTGCAGTTCAGCGTCTTAACCACTTGAGCCACCGCAGCTCCTCTTTTATGGACTTATTTACCCACAATTTGATGTGAACTCTTGACAGGCAGGCAGTGGCTCAAACAGTCTAATACAGGGGTGTCAAACATAAGGCTCACGGGCCAGAACCGTCCAAACAACTAGTGCAAGGGAGGGAACAGGAGTCTGCTTGGGGGGGAGTGGGCGGAGCCACTCCGATTGTGGCTTCAGCATGGAGGAACAACCTTGTCTACGGCATAGGGTTGCCAAGTCCATCTTCCACTTTTGGGGGCGTTCCTGGAGGGGGTGGGGCATCCCCGACGTGATGACATCACGTTGGGGACGTCCGCCACCCCCCCACCCGCCCGTGCGTCAGATCTCCAGAAACGGCAGTTCCCTGCCCTTAAAGGAGCCGTGTTTCCCTTTTAAATGCAGGAGCCGGCGTTTCCCCTTTAAGAGCAACCACGTTTCCCTTTTAAGAGCACGAAGCTGGCACTCCGGCCTTGGGAGGAAACACAGGCTTGGGAGGAAACACGGGTTCCACACACTTAAAGGGAGAGAGAGGAACCCTACTACAGCACTCAAGCAGCGTGGAAGCATCTGCCCAGTGCTGCACTGCTGGCTCTTCCCTGGGCTGGAGCCCCTCCCCCCACTTCAGGGATAACAGAAAGTGAGAGGGGATAGCTGCTGGCCACTCCATTACTCCCTGTGGAGACTGGTCCCCATAGGGTATAATGGAGAATCAATCCCTGGGTATCTGGGGCTCGGGGGAGGGGCTGTTGTTGGCAGTTGGCCCTACCTGCTCATCTGTTAGATGTTGAGAAGAAGAAGAAGAAGAAGATGATGCAGAAGAAGAAGAGAACAAGAAGAGATTGGATGTATACCCCGCCTTTCACTACCCAAAGGAGTCTCAGAGCGGCTTACAATCCCTTTCCCTTCCCCTCCCCACATCAGACACCCTGTGAAGTAGGTGGAGATGAGAGAGCTCTTTTAAGAACTGACCTTGAGAGAACAGCTCTGAAAGAACTTGTGACTGACCCAAGTCATGCCAGCAGCTGCATGTGAAGGAGTGGGGAATCAAACCCGGTTCTCCCAGATTAGAGTCCACACTCCTAACCACTCCTACGCTCCTAACCACTACACCAAACTTAGCCTCGTTGGCGGTTGCTTGTCTTTCTTGTTTCATCTTATACAGGACCTCTCTTCTTCTCTCTCTTACCTGAGTTCAAAGCTGTAGCGAGTTAACCTTTCTGAAGTTTACCTTTTCACAAGAAGTTAAATGTACCTACAGGAATACGTCACGCAAGGGGTGCTTCTATTTTTGTAAGTAAAATTTCTTTCTCTTTGTCGCCATTGGAGTCAGATCACCTTTGTAATTTGTTCGAACAGCATTTCCCCCTTAACTGGGAAATGTGGAGAAACGGGGATTCTGCGTAAAGCTTCTGTGCTTCCAAGGCAAATGATATTTTTTTTACATTTAGCCCAATAAGAAATGTGTTTTTCACTCACCCTTTGGCCAGTGTTGCTATGCCAACATCAGTTAATTTCATTCCTACACCTACAAAACAAAACAGCAAGGCAATGTTACACACAAATATTCAGGTACTAGAAATAATGCCCGTTGCGGAAATAAATACAACGGGATCTAGAAAGAGGCTCTGGGAGAGTGCTCTGGCTTTGGGCAAACAGTGTCAGTTTCCTGTGGCGACCTCAGCAGGGTTTAATGACAGAGTCCACGGTTTTCTCCCAAGGGACTGATCTCTGCTACCTGAAGAGCATTTGTATGTTTGAGTTATCTGTAGCCCTCACCTGGAGAGTGGTAACCATTGTTACCCATTCTCCTCTCCCCTATGAGGTATGTTATGCAACTGAAAATCCCAACTGCCTTGCGGGGGTGGGGGAGTTTGAGGTGTGGAATGGACTGAAGTCCAATCAGCTTCCATATGCAAAAGACCAGGTTGTCGCAGCAGTTGTGGTGTGGGCGGGACCCGGGCTTTGCCTTCTGATTGGTGGCGATATATGCTGAGGAGCAGTGCCATCAGCCATACACTAAGGGAGTGCATTTTAGAATTAGAACCTTGGCACCCACTATTCAATTATATATAAGGAGAGATTACTTAGCTTTATATATATCGAGGCAGTTTTTATCAGCGTCACTGCTGGTTACAGATGCCATCCAACACTTTTTTGGTAGGTGCTGCCTCCGATATTGAGGATTACTGGCTCCGCTCTGTTACCAAGGACGTGGAGGGTTGGTTCCTATCTACATTCCACGCACAGAAGTACAATTCCCCCCTGTTATGTAGTGGGTTGCCGCATGGATAAACGACCGACGACAACGTGGTGCATGGCACGCTTTATTTGGTACACAACAAGAACAAGGAACAAACGGCCGGCAGGCCAACTATATACATACCTGGGGACACACCCCTGGTCACCATTGGTGGGTTTGAATCTCCCGCCATGGTTCCCATTGGTTCCCCAGTGGAGGGACTAGGAGCCTAGTCCCTATTGTTCTTCCAGAGCCAAGCTCTGGCTGTTCGCTGGCCCCCGGTGGAGGTCAGCATATACTACACCCCCTCTCTCAAAGCAGCCCCAAATGCCCCTGGAAATTCTGCTTCTGGGGGCAGAGAACCTCAGGGGCAACATGAAGGAGGAGTCAGAGGGTTGCTATAAGAGCGGGGAATTGTCCCCTCTTTTCTGTGAGTGGATCTTTTTGATGGGGTCCAGCCCATACAGAGGAGTGTACCTCACTCTTAGATGTATGCTTTAGTGCAGAAGTGAACACACAGAGAAGAAGAAATTGGATTTATACCCTGCCTTTCACTACCGAAAGGAGTCTCAGAGCAGCTTACAAATTCCTTTCCCTTCCCCTCCCCACAACAGACACCCTGTGAGGTAGGTGGGGCTGAGAGAGCTCTTTCAAGAACTGCACTCTCAAGGACAGCTCTTGTCAGAACTATGGCTTGCCCAAGGCCATCCAGCCAGGTGCAAGTGGAGGAGTGAGGAATCAAACCCGGTTCTCCCAGATTAGAGTCTGCACACTTAACCACTACACCAAACTGGAAGCAGGACTTGGAGAAAAGAAGTGCAGGATATGTTGCTGGAGGGGTTTGTGGGCCCTTTTTACCACATAGAGTGATGTGGGCATAGAGCTTGGGGGGAGGGTCTCTGCCTACACCTTCCATCAGCCCCAGCCCAGCCCTGTTACCTCACAGGGCCCGCAAGGCTTCAGTCTGGAGAGAGGGAAGAGGTTTCTAAGCCTCTGTGCCAGAGGTCATTTCGGGGGGGGAACGCGGGGGAATGCAGTTCCCCCGGGTGAGGTGCAGGGGGGCGGGGCACATGACAAAGCCCCACTCCCTGCTTCCGGCCGCCCCGCGTCCAGCCCTCATTCAGCCAGGAGGAGGCAGGAGAAGAGGGAGGGTAAGTTGCTTCCTCCCCGC